TTCATCAATAATACAAGGCCAGAAGTACCAGTGATAGAGAGCGATTAAACGAGCGAAGGGTTGAACTTCGAAGCGCGCTAATGCGTCGGGCAAACTCCGCGGTGCCTGTGCACAGTTGGTTAAACCGGCAAACATTGACTGATTTTACGCATTTCACGTTAGCTCAGCGATGTCGAAGATGTCTTCTACTCGTCACTAACTCGATATTGTACTTTTACTCTTGCGAGATAAATCTCTATAAATTTTAATGAAGAGACTCAAGACATTTAAGATCACCGTGAATCTAATTATCTCCTCAAGCTATCTGAAAATTTTCGGGAGACGAATAAAATCATAAAATATGTTTAATTTAGCTAACAAAGTTCGAGATTGAAATCGACTCGTTACTAATCGACGTGACCGCGAGCGATCTCTCGTCGATGCCACAAGTCGTGCACGACAGGCGACCGGAATGTAAATCAAAAGCGGTTTCGAAACTCTTCCCCGATGGCTGAATACGGCGCGCGGTGGAAGACCTTAATTCGTTTACGACTTGCAAAACGAGCCTTCTGGGAGCGCGCAACTGGTAGCCAAACAGTTTGCACGCCGTCACGCACCCCCGTGGCACGTCCCAAGGGTGTTACTGACAAAGTAAAATCCCGCAACGAGCGATGGTTTTGTTCTAGCAACGGTAGCAAGAAATCTATAAAACGTCAAAAAATCCAGGTGAAATTATTTCAAGAATCCATATGTAAATAATTCTCAATAATTTTACCTTCAAATTATATATTTTGCGAAATTTATATTGTATTAGAAATTTTCAAGAAATAAACTATTATAAAATAACAAAATTATTTGAGGCTTTGAGTAAAGTTTTAAATGCCGATGTTTGCAGCAGCTTTAATCAGTCAAGCAAAGTTCATTTTTCTTCTTTGCTTATGTTGATGGTAAAATTATAAATGAAAAAAAAAAGACAGTAGAATTAATCAAGAATCAGTTAACAAACATTGTTAATGTATTTTAACCGAGTTAAGGTGGATTATCAATAAACTTATCACTGCTGATCGATAAAAGAAGTTGTATTAGTTTAAGTTCATGAATCCTTCGAACGTGTAATTATCCGAATAGAACATACAGATTGCGTGCAGATAGGCTCATTTATTTCTTCGAAGGCGCAAAAGACACTTCAGTCATTGTAAGTCAATGCGAACATGCTTGGTTACGACATGTTTTTATAGCGAATTCGTGAGAAATCTCGCTATGTTTTATAGGTCTGGGCTCTCTCTGTAGGAGATAGCAAAACTTGTAGATCATGTAACAGACTATGCAATTAATCTGTTTTCGAGGACAATGTTCTGGCTCTTGTGCCAATGCATCCTTCTACTTGTAGGGTAAATTCTACAGCAGATACTATAAATTATTCATTGTGATTAATATATATTCTATCAAATGATATTAAATTGTATGCTTGCAATATTGTTAGATTATTAAATCATTATATACAAATTATAAATTTCGAAATATTATTAAATATTAATAATTTTTCTCAATTTTGACATATCACGATCACCGCGTTACTCAATCTTTATAACACAGTAAAATTAATCGTTGATTTTATTTTTCACTTATTGCAGGTCTTAATCCACGCTGAAATATTTTACGGTCTGTAAATGAAATGAAAAATATAGAAAGAATAAACGATAATGTTACACGCGAGCGGAAAATGTGTTACAATGTCTGTTTATCTGGCCGCAACATTCTCACCGCAATGTTACCGATTCATTTTAAATGTGGAGCACTTTAGTACGCCTCCCAATGATCTCTCCCTATCTGCTCGTCAATGATCGATACAAAATTGCAGTGGAAACAAGTTCGCGCGTTACACAAACGGTGTTGTTTCGCGTTCCCTGAAGGGATCTGATTGCAAACGAATGCGGCGGGGTTACGGTCTCCCTTCATAGACGATTAATCCAGTTTACTCGCAGACGTTACCTCGCCATGGGGTTCTTGTAAGCCGAGAATCCGCACAAACGTCCCTCCCGCGCTTAAATATATTCAATTACGAGACTCAAACCTGTGCCTTATCGTTCCCTTTCTCTCTCTCTCTCTTTCCTCCTTTCTCGCGTTTTCCACTTTCGTTCACTCATACAGCTGCTTTTAACTGAAGTCTCGACTTTCTACTTCCGTTCCGGCCCCTCTTAAGAACACGGATTTACGCGCTAATGATTCCTCTTGTAAACTCTTTGACAGTCAAGTCGCGCTAAGGCAGATACGTTTATCGTCAAATTATAAAATTCGCTTATTAGCAACACCAGTTGCAGAGAACTTTATGTTATGCAATGATATGATGAATTTATCGTGTAATACGGATTGTATTACTTTAGCGAAATAAAATAGCCGCGTAAGAATAAACGAATAATGCACATACACATGTAATAAAATCAAACATATTATTGCTTTGTGCAACACTTTTTTACATTACATTAATTGTGAATAGTGAAAGGATTTTTCATTCTTTATGATAGATATTTTTTAAATGTCTCAAAAAGTACGCGTTACAGCTTGAAAAGTTTTACGAACAATATGTGTGCGTTGAAGTGTCACATTTAACAAAACGTCCTAACATTGTGTAGCCAAATACGACTGCGATAAACTAAGTAGAACCCAAGTCTCGCGCGAAAAGTCAATGTCGCGATTCCACGATATTTCCCAGTATTTTCCACTGCCAGGCATGCCGCCAGGGTTAGATGATAGAGCACAAGTAGAGGAGAACGTAGGGTAAGAGTGAACAGTAAGAGAGAAAAAGAGAACGATAGAAAGAGAGAAATGGAGTTGGAGAGAGCGAATGGAAGAGAGAGATTGAGAAAGAAAAGGGTCATGGCATAGGGGAGAGGGTGCCGTGCGAGAGAGGAAAAGAGAGTTAAGCCTGCAGGCTTGCAGACAGAGGCATCAGAGCAGCGGCGGGCAGCGGTAGCAGCAGCAGCAGCAGCAGCGCGGCGCAAAGCGAAAGCAGGAGGGAGACAGGCATCTCGCCCTTCTTTTGTCCCTGGGCTTCGGCCCGATATTGAAATGGAGTCGTTTGAGTGTGAATAATTTGCTTTGCCCGGGCCCACCCCTCCACCGCCGCCGTCGTGCCCGTCCCTCTCCTTTGCCGTTCTCGGCCCGGCGCGACTACCACCGTGATCGGCCCCCCGTGTACCCTCAACCCCCCTTCGCGGCCGCCGTCAACCCCTCTGCAGCAACGCCGCGTTATTTCGCGTCGCGCCGGCGAGAGTGGTGCGTTTCGCGATTTCCGTGGTCGCGAATCGAGCTCTTTTCCGCATCGTCTTCTGTGCGAGAATCGCGCAGGCAGAATTTTCGGAATATTACGCTGGTGTAAAGCAACAGCGTCCGGATGCTGCCGGTCTTATTAAAGACCTATTTGGTCGGGAAGATTTAAAAGTAGTGTTGCATAGAATCAGATCACATTTAAGATTACGTATATTTAAAAAAAATATGAGTAATATATTATTCAAATACTGCAGATTTTAAGAGGACCATCACAAAAAAAATGAAAATATGTAATGTTATAAGAATCTAAAGAATAAACTTAATCCGTTTTCAAAAACTTAATTCAGGAATGCAATTTAATTATTTTCTTACGACAAATATGATTTATGGCTGAGAGCACCTTGTGATTCGTTTGGTGATCTTATTCATTGAAAATAGATTATAGAAGTTATTATTATTTTGGCCCACGCAGGGCCAAACGCACGTTTAAGAACGTGTTACCAGATACATTATTAGATTCTGCCTATCATAAAATTTGACGCAGTTTCGATTAGAAGTCTCCTTTCGTACGATGTGACACCGATCGTAGAACTCGTTTCACGCACATATGCACGCATCTCGAGGTGAGGTATTGGTCATTATAAATTCCGAAGTATTGTCTTCGATCGATCGATCGAGCGACCCTGGTGCATCGGGCGCGGAACATTTCGTTCCTCATCTCTGACGCTGGTCAGATCGGGTACACCGATGAATTGATTAGCGCGAATCATCGTCACGCGCCGCCGCGACCCGCCAACGAAATCCGCGTGTGGAATGGCCGACACGTACGACACGCATGCCACGCATGACGAGCCGCACGGCTGGAGCTAAAATTACATCGACGTAATCGTCGCATAACGCGGCCTTGCTCCGACTCGTGAAATATGTTAACTACCCGATCATCGGTCACGGGCGATGATTGATCAGATGAGTCGAAGGCGCTTTACTTAAAATTTAAACGGTGATGAGAAACGTTTTTACACAAAATGCTTGCTAATAGAAATGTTTAATAAATGCATGATGTTCTTTTCGTGAATTATAACGAGCTTAATCTGCATAAAAATACCTGAAAATGTTTTTCGTCAACAACGTGTAATAATAAATTCTGTTTTTCAGCCAATTTTTATTGGATTTTCTTCAGCATCTCACTTTTTTTCGAAAGAAATAACATATTTGCAATAGTATTGCATGAAAAAGTTTAAGAGGTGCGTCTTGAAAATATTGCACGGAAAATACTGATTTGCGTACGTTTTACTGTAAAACGTTGCAAAAGCGGTGAATCTCCGGTGTAGCGAATGCGAGCACGCATTCAATCCTTTTTAAATTTAATCGTCGATAGGACAGAAGCGCGATTTCTTTCGCTTTGTGCGGCCGGAACAAACACAATGCGCGAAAGGCGGAGTTCTCTCGAAGCCAGGGAAGACGAAGAAGTCGGCTGTACGTTGAGCATTGAAGAGCGCCGCTTTTGTTGAAAAGGCGCCCGCTCGCCGACAAAGACGAAGGTGAACGCGCGCGAGCGACCGGATGATGAGCCAACAATGATCGAGGATTCATCAGTCTTTTAAGAGGCCAATGTCACCCGTCGACTGGCGGACGCGCCGCTACTCTGGGCGCGTATCCTCCTTAGACATGCAGAACGCATACGGGACATCGTGTATATAATACACCGGCGGCGGGCATCGGAAATCAGTCAGCCCGTCAACACAACCAGCAAACCACTAGCGTTCAACGATGAAGGTAATCATCGATGCGTTCTATGCAATTTATTCAATTGTTAGAACGTGAAAAGTTTGCAATTTTTGTGCAGAGATAATATCAAGCTAACTTTCTTCATAACCGACAAATATTTAGCTGACTAATTTGCTTTTCAAAAATTCAGATATTCGTCAGTATCGTTCTTTTGGCCTCCGTGGTCCTCGCCGAGCCGCCGAGATATCGCCAGCAACAGAGACAGTATTACTTCGCCCAGCAGCAGCAGGAGCAGCAGCAGGAGCAGCAGGAGCAGGAAGAGGCCGGCTCTTACCCCGCGTCCGGCTGGAAACCAGCTGGTCCCGCCTTTAATCTCCCTCAAAGACAACAACCTCAGCAACAATATGGAGCGCCGGATACGCCCCAGCAACAATACGGAGCACCAATCGCGCCTCAACAACAAAACGGTGCACCGAGCGCGCGTCAACCAAAATATAGGGCATTAAACGCACCTCAGCAATTTGGAGCACCAAATGCGCCTCGGCAGCTATATAGTGCGCCGCAACAGCAATATGATGGTCCTCAGCGAGAATACGGAGCACCGGAAGAGTCTACGACGACTGAGACTTCTAACACCACCGAGGAGGAAGAGATATCTACCGTTCAAGGCATCAGTCAGTCTGAGGTAAGAGTAAAGCGTGAAATTTATCTTGAATTATTGTTGAAATATTTAGTGTCAAAAATCGAGGTCCAGCGAGAAAGACGGCTTTTAGCAAAACTATAAACTTTAAATTAAAAAATCTGTAATCAAAGGGCAGTGCACAATATTTGATGTACATTGAATATTTTAATAATCAGATATTAGAATATTATTTGAAATAATACATACATAAATTTTGAAGAAAATTCAAACTTTATGTTCATATGAGTGCGTTAAAACAATAGTGTTGAAATTCTAGTATTAATTAAAGTGAGAATAGTTTCGTTAAGATCGTTGAAAATTCCTAGTCTTTTGTAAGTCTCGCATGTTACGCGCACGTTCTTCAACTTCTCGCGACATTACGTAACAAAGATTTATCATCTCGTTTCGGAAAGAGAACGCGGTAAAATATCGAGTTGGCATGTGAGCCTACACGGAGACGGTTCCGTAGAATTTAAATCGGTACTCTAAGGCTCCTTTTTTCCAATCTTCAACGCTCGTTCGTTCTCGTCGTTTCTCCGGCTTGTGCTAACGACATTAGTATTCGAGGCATCGTTTACTTTCGATCGCGAGTCTCAAGCACGTGTGTGTCCGTACCAAATTCGAAGACTGGCGTGACACAACCCATAATGCATTCACCCGTGATTCGAGGTCGTCTGCGAGCCTACAATGTCTTCTATTTGGCGGGATGGATAAAAATAGAGAAATCTCTTGTTGTCGAGAAATGTTTGTCAACCGAATGACTCGTTTTAACACAACGTAGTTCGCAAATTTAATAAGTAGTTTCCATGCAAGATTTTGCATCAATTTTCACTTTGCGATATACGATAACTTACGCCCTCGAAGATTTTAGAAAATTCTGCTACAGAATATTAAAGACAACAAAGAATAAATTTTGGCGCATATGTTTGCCTTATATCAATAACATTCTCTTACAAACCCAGTGCTTTGTAATTAAAGCGTGTAATATGATATCAAACACCGGAGACAGAAAACGATAATATGAAGATAAACAATTGCACAACAAAATATAATTTTTTCAGTCCGAGCCTGTGAATGCAGTAAACGAGCTTGAAGACGAAGACGAGAGTGAGAAGCTCCCTCAGCAATCCGGAGAGTATTACGTGGCCCTTCCCGACGGTCGCCTCCAACGCGTGCGGTACATCAGCCGTCAGGATGTCGAGGCCATGAAGTACTTCGCCAAGATTCGCGCCGAGAATGTGGAGCCTCTTCGTGGACCGATCTACGCGTACGCGCCTCTGCAAAAATTGCAGGTCGTGCCAACTAGTTTGCAATTGTCCGTCGCCCCAGTCGCGCCGATTGCCTCTGTCGCATCTGCGAACAAGCCGCAGAAATTCGAGATCGAGCCCGTAGCCGCGCAGGTGCAGTACCAATACGATAACCCTTCGAGCGTAGTGCCTTTGGCCAGCCCCTTGAGTAGCTCCTCTTACACCACCTACACAGCAAACTATCAGACACCGGCAGCCAGCGACTCTAGATTTCTTCTCACTTTCCAGTGAATCCAATCTTAACGCAATACATCTCTTGTAAATTGCACTGTACATGTTGCATAGGTTATTAAGCGCACTCACAATTAAACTAAGTTGACGAAGTAATAAAGCTGATGACAACGAAACTTTCTCCATTATACTTTCCTTCTGCTTATAAGACCACCTTTGACCGACTGCTGACACATTACATGATCATTATCGATATACAAGTTTTGACAAACTTGTTTCTCATACATTTATCATGAGTGTAATAGCAGCAAATTCCGTGGAACGGAAACTAAGTAATGAATAACTGAAAGTTCCGCAGGAATGTCATGTGCGTACGAAAGTTGTTTTAATCGAGATATATTTTTCCAGTATTTTACAGCGGAATTGCAATTGAACGAGTTTCTTCAACGCGCAATCGTGAGCGTAGACATAGATGTATCGGTAAAAGAGAGAGAGAGAGAGAGAGAGATATCTGTTGGCATGTAGACGCGCCTAACCGCAAAATTCCAGAAATTTAATATCTCGCTTGGCGCAACCAGCAGCAGGGTTGGGCATTTCATAAGTTCACTCCGACACAGCCAATCCCCCAACCGAATTCTCCCAAAATTCTACAACCAACGTTCCAACCCACTCAAACACTTCCTCCTCCTTTCCCGTTACGCTGTTACACCGCGCGTCCCTCTTTACTATGTCGACCGGTGCGCGTCTTGGATGTTCTTTGCCAGTGAACCATCGAATTTTGAAGAAAATTCTAGTAAAACGTTCACACGACCGTTTCTAGGGCTACGTTTGGATCGCGTTGCCGTTAGGCCTGAATTTGATTTTGCAATCTTGTGGATTTGCAAAAATTTCCTTCTGTAATTGGGACAAACACTTTCACGACGTATTTTATATTGATTCATGCTGAATTTAGATCAAAAGATACGAAGATTTACAAAAAAATTACCACTTATCGTGCAGAATAAATTATATGAGAAACTGTATCAGTCATACTCATTTTAACATTGAAAGAAAAAATTTGTAGTGTCTTGAAAACAATGAAAAACGCAACTTCAAGCCGTGTGCCGGCTGTTCTCTCCGGGCATCAGACATAATTATGCGCGGCAAGTTAACGGGAAGTTTTAATTAAGATCCACCGGCAACAAACTGCTCTTACGAATTCAGCGGGGCTATCGTTCGACGGCTAACAAAAGGATATCCTCCAGCAATCGCCCCTCCCCCTTCCCTCCATACCCATTCCCCCTGAGGAAGCTCGAACATACTCGTTGAGACTTGGTCGACCGGCGTAATCGACCAACTAATTAATCCGGTCAAGCGGTCAAGCCCAATTAAATTCCACTAGTCGGTCGAGACGATTGTTCGAGAGCGCAACGGGGAAATCTCGTGGTAGACAAGTTTCTTCGTTGGAAACTTGGCTTGCGAGACGACGCGGTCTACTCCTTCTGCGCATTCTTTCGGCCTTCTTTTACCCTTAGGGCCACCGGAAGCGGGAGGGAATCGCTTTGGAAAACAAAGTTTCGCCCGGTTTTCCACTCGCCGCTCCACGCACCACCGCCACTCGTCGTTTTCTCGCTTCTCTGCGCTCCGTCAGGCACGGAAGCGTCCCCGAGAGCCAACCAGCCGGTGCAACCCTCCTTCCTACGGGATATTAATTTTTCGGCAAGTTGCCGCTATCTTTTCGCCTGGCGCTTCGTTTTTCCGTGGCGATTTCGAGCCCGAATCGAATGCCCGCACATTTCTCTCCTCGCTTTTGACCCTCAGTCAGCAACTTGTTTTTCCATTGCATATAGTGTTTCAGTATTACCGATGATATTTCAAGAACAATTTTCTTGATTAATTATGAAAGAGAAAATCCTTAATAAAAATGTCACGGCTTAGTTTTTGACTTATACAAATGATAAAAAATGAAATAAATATATTCCATTACAATTTGCATTCAGTTTGAATTATTGAAAGTAATTTTTTCATTACATTCAATTTTTTTCTAGAGCGTGTTCAAATTTTTAGGAAAATCTCAGATAATCCTTTGGTACATGCAAAGTATTGAGATAAAAAATCTACCTCCATAATTTTTTCATCACTCAATTACGTCGACGTATAAATGGGTTTTTTATGAACCTTATAATATTTCGCGATCTCTCTCGTTAATCGCATTTGCGCTAGTAACGCGACGCGCCGTTGAAAGAGAGAGAATTAGTTTTCATAGTCCTAATAAAACGCGTATTTTTATCGGCTCTACAGCTTACTTTTAATTTTATGCAGTGTTATCTATTTCATCGAAATAATAATTTAAAATCACAAAACAAAAGAAGCAGTGCTTTAATAAACAATATCGTACTTAATCTATTGCCACAATTAATGTAGATGTACTGACCGTCACTCTGATATATTTTTATGAAACAAACACCTGAAGTGTAAATATATATAGGGATAAAAATAAAAGATAAATTCAAGTAAATAATTTTTTTCCCAACACATGCTGCTATTTTTAAAATATTATTCTAGCAAACATCTTTACTCTAGATTGACAACTCGTTCGTGGCGCGGCAGAGGAGAAAAGAAATAGCTCGCCGCGAACAGTCCTGGCCGATTCGCGAGGAACAAAGGCTCCGGGAGGCGCGGTTGTGAGAGACGATAATAATTTCGGAGCACCTGAGGAGAGGCCGCGACGGAAAAGGCGGAGGAGAGGGACGTCAATAAAAATGAATTAGAGAAGGAGCAAGAACAAAGAGGGAGAAACCGCGACGAAGAAGGGTAGGGTAGCTAAGAAAAGATGCTGGAAGTCACACAGGGGTGACATCTGGTCCTGCGGTGGTGGTGGTAGCGGCAGACGTCGATCCATTTCACAGGGTTAGCTTTCTCGCGGTTTGTGTGATTGCGGAGGTTACGGAGGAGGGTAGTGGCGACTCGCGTGTATTTTCGCTTTTGTGTGTGTGTGTGTGTGTGTGTGTGAGCGTGGACACACACCGCGGGCCGTCCGTTTGTTTGGTCCGTGCACGGTGCCAGATTAAGAAAATAGCGGGAGGCTCCCGCGGCGCCGGTGGGAACGCGGCCAAGCCGATGTCCTCCTCAGGTTCTCAGGATTCGCGAGGGAAGAAATACGAGCGTTTCGTGCATCACCGGTTCAAAACAGTTAGCTTTAGGTGGCAATAGAATTTTGCACTGTGACTTTGCGCTACAATAATGTAATAAAATTCGCGAGGATTGTTTCACGTATAAAGAAAAGTTTTTTTTTACTTTTACATGCTAAAACCACCAAAAAAAAAAAGATAATGTCTTTTTGAATATTAGACATTTTAAAAATAATAAAACTTGTTTTGTCATATGTTGTATAAAATTATAATAAACTCCATAACATTTATTTCTAAGCGCTCTTTGTCTTGTCTGCAATTTCAAATTGTTTCGCGCTCTTCAAGCGTCTTCTCCTTTCACTCGAGGATTCACTGTACGACCCCACGCGGCGCGGAGGGTCGCAAAGACAACAATAAAAAATGGAAAAACGGCGGAAGGGAGAAGGAGGAAAAATACGTGGCTGCCGTATATGCATTCTATACGAGAGCGCACTACCGTCGACGGTGATTGGAGATCCCCCGTCGACAAGCATGTCGAACTCTTTTCGGCTCTTTCGAAGTCGGCACCTGCTTTCGCTCGGTCGCAACGACGACGATGACGGCCTTTGTGATCCTTCCTTCTTCTGTCGGCGTATCCCTCGCAGTTTTCACGAGCTGCATATATCGCGCGCGGATACGCGAGCTTGTGTCTATATATGTCGGTGCGTTCGTGCAGCGTCGGTGAAACGAACGCATTGCGTCACAGGGCATGTCGATATTGAGTCGAAAGAGGGGTCTCGACTGAAAACAATGAGATACGCTATGACGAGAGAGAAGTCGCTTTTTGATTAATATCGTTGAATTAATAGGAATTCAATGGAGAAAGGGAGCACGGTGTCCATAGACATTATTGAGCCAGCCAGGAGTGTTTCGTGGAATACAGACTGCGAATATCAACCACCATTGAAATAAAATAAGATTATAAATTTAAAAATCCAACTCTTCACACTATTTTTATATTAACTTTTACTCATAATTATTTTGAAATGATAAAAGTCTTGAAACAATTGCTCTTTCTAAAACTATAAATAAACTGCAATCAAAGATATTCGAATTTTAAATTAAAAGAGCGTTCGGAGAAACTTTCCTTTATAAAATGAAGAATGTATGACTTATGCCGCTGTTTTGCCGAGCGGCTCATATTAGGTCAATCGCGAAATAAAATCATATGAAATTCTGCACGCATGAGGACCATAATTCAATCGATGGATAGCGCGCGATAGGCGTGACTTTGCAATGCTAAAACATTATGCAACATCAGGTGACTGATCGGCGAGCAGCAATCTTGCGTAATTCATTGTTCGTCACGACTATATATGACCATATGTCGACATATTTTCTCTTATTTCCATAATTTTTAATATATTATTTCACAGTATACATAGTGTTAGATTCATCGAATATTCTTTTAGTTACGTATTTAGATCAATTTTTCTTTAATGATAATTTGACTAAATATTATTATTAATATCGCAATAACACGAAATAAAAAATTTTGTTTAATTCATCCAATTACGCAATTAATCTAACTCAAACATTTATAACTTAATAGGAATTATCGAATGATTTTATATAGAAATTCTCTTTGTGCGATTATTTTTAAATTATTTAATTCTTTATTATCGTAATATCACTTCTGATAAGTTTGGCTCTCGTAACATTTTTCTAAACAAACATTCAAACATAATTTTAATATTTTTGCAAACCTATGTATGTATTTCTAAAGCTATCGTTTATTTTGAAGAATGCTCGATAAACTGAATGCAACTTTGTATCAAATTTTGACGTCGTGAGAGACGCGATAAAACTGTGAACGAGCCTCTCGACTCCGAGCGACTTGTAACGAATTCCGAGGGTGCGTTTACTGTAGTTTGAATTCTTATACGGGGTGTCTTTCTTGTAAAGCGAAGGCGGTTTGATCTCTTACCGCCATGCCCGCCCATCTAACTTCGTGAAAACGCGGAATTTAGATTCGACGCCCTTTATACCAAACGCATCTCTCGCAGATATTTCCTTACTTCTTAAACTTATTTTACACACGTATATAATTTTACCCATCTTGTAATACAGAAAATATATCAAAATATCTTAAAATTAAAATTAGAATAAAATTACGAATTAGGTTTAGAATATCTTATCTGTAAAATTGGAAGTTATTTCATTTTTATGAAGGCATTAAACGCCAGATATAAATAGGTGTAATCAAATTCGCAGAGTCTATAATTTTCATATTAAAGATTAATCTTCGATCCATTATTTTTGTAATTAACGATGGGATTTTATCACAAGGCAAGATTTAGGTGGTGTAAAAAGAGCTTTAGACACGGCGCGCGTATCTCGGCATTATTCATACACTCGTCACGTATGCGAGTTCCCCCTGCTTTCTTCGTCTCTCGCAGACGCATCGGCGGGGCGAGTAGGTACTCGCTCGTGTGAACGTTGCCTAAAAGAGCGTCGGTCGACGTGTCACACCGGGGGGTGGTTCGCTCTCTTTGTGTGTAGTGTGTATATCGATTGGCATTACGAGGCAGATCAGTCAACCCTACCCGTGTGTCTCGTCGAAGGGTCGAAGGAAGTAACGTGCGAGGAAAGAGATCTCCGCCTTACTGCCGTCCTCCCCCTCCCTGCCCTCCCTTCGCGCTTGCTGAGACACTTTGTCACCCTCTCAGGCATCACCCCCGTCCTCCTCCGTCCCGACGGGCCGCCGGATGCTGAGGCCTACGAAGTCGAAGTGACACGTGGGGGGAGAAAAACGCGTCCGCAATTAGCGTCTCTTTATTCAGTCTCTTACGACTCATTGGAAATCTATAAAAAAAAAAAGGTGCGTCGGCTCGACGTAAGCGCGACACCTTGGGGTTTAAAATCGATAGATCGGGAACTATCGCCCTTATCGTTCTTATTCCACTTTGTCACTCTCTCACGCGTTACCCCCCTCCAACAGACGACGGCGAGTTGACGGATGCTCGCAAGGTTGAGCGGAGTTACAGGAGAGAGGGGGTTGCGAAGAGAGGAAGAACGGGAGCAAAAGGGAACTTAACCCTCCGTTAACCTTCCGTTAAGGAATATGTCGATAAACGATGGAATATAAGGACGAGATATAAGGGACGTAGAATGAAGATAAGGATTCAATCTCACATCAGACAGACGGTGCACCGATACGGAATGTGCAAACATTAGAAAACAATATTAGCTACATTTCTTTTATCGTATTTCTGAGCAAAATGTTTTTTCTATATTCTTTAATAAAAATATAGGATCATTAATATATTTATTGCTAGGTCTATCTACTTCGGATCTACTTGATCTTAGCCGCAATCGATATTTATTCCTGGATTTTTCGCTCGCAAAAACGCCGATAATTTTAACATATATTTAAAGAAATCAAATTACTTATTATTTTATCGTATATGTGTATATTTTATTATTTTTCTTGCTTTAATATTATGTGTTCTGAACTATGCCATAATAAAGTTTACCACTGTACGAATTTTGGCGAAGAATTTTGAAGCTACCAGAGATTTTATCGGAGCGGAAGCGTTGAATTCGCGACGCCGGCCATCGCAACGTGCGCGCCGCATCTGTGCGCTCTCGCCGCGTTCGAAGGAATTTCATCTCCAGATTCCGTTACATGTTTTGCGAACTGGTTCGATCGCAAAAGAATTTCTCCTCGATCGCGGTTTCCGCGTGCGGTCGAAAGTCCGTAATGGCGAGACCGCGAACGGTCCGAGCGGAATGATTTGCGCGCAGCACACGCAGGAATTACAAAACCGAAGGGGGAAGACACCCTCTTCCACTCCCACCCTGTTTACTGCCCTTTTCCTCGCTTTCTCTGCCTCTCTCTTGATACACGTGTGGTGCACGATATACAGGGTGTTTACTAATAGGCAAGTAGTTTAGTACATCGAAATACTACCTGTATTCAAAAATAAAATACTTTTGTATTAATTAAAATTTTGATTTTCAATTATTTTTGTATGGTTGGTTGCAGCCTTAAATAAATACAATATTCTTTATATAATTTCAAACCAACTTGGGTTTAACAGAACTTCAACTAAAAATTTGTCCTTTAAAATATTTAATTTAAAAATTATAAAAATTAGAAGAAGTAATAGTGATCAATTAAAGGCAAAGTAGAGAAAAAATATTTTGTTACGTTTTTCAACGAGAAATTGTTCTATTTATCAAGCATTTGTTATTGAGCATGCTGTATCATATGTATTGTTTAGCTAACATTTCGCTTTGTAGAATGCAACATTCATGCATTTTCCCACAAATGCTAGGAATTTGCAATATATTGGAAAGTTAAACCTTTCGCTGCAAAAGATACAAGCATGAAAAATATAACGCGTTTACACGCGTGACGATATGAATTCTTTTTTTTTTCTAAAACGTTTTGCCGCAAAATTTTGTGCGATTTTCACCCAATACGAGTCAACAGCCGAAATTTCTCGTATCGTCGCGAGTGCGGTGAAGTCGATATCGCACTGGCGATTTTGCACAGTGAAATATCGGGCACAAAGGGGATTATGACGATTCGATCCCGGGGATTACCTCCGAATACTATCTCGGACGCGATAGGAGGGAGAGGATCGGCGTATTGTTTTCGATACGCAAATCTCAACAGGAATTTGCGCAACTGGCACGGAAGAGAGAGAGGAGAGATAGAGATAGAGCGCCGCTGTACATTATTAATCGACACACCTTTAGTCAGCGGAATCTAAACGTCATGCCGCGTTAATTTATGGTTCATTCCGTCGTTTAAGCAAATTCATTCCTGGCAGCTTACCATGTATCGCACAATACCGTATAAATAAAGATTCGCGTAAATTAAGGTCTTGTGTAGGAGCGAAAAATGCCGATCGGAAATTTTAATTAATTGAATCTGATCGACAAATTGTTCGTCAGACTTCCGATCTTTATTTTATGTTTTTGAGTAAGTTGCGTTGATTTTATAAAATCTTCACAAAATCGTAATTACATAAATCATTGTTAAATTAATTCCCAACAAAACTAAAAGTGCACGAGTACTTTTAATTTATATATCAGCAAACATCTCCGAATTACAATAAAAAAAAAACATTTAAGAAATGATTGCAAAAACGTGAAAAGATCTTACAGTTGATGGAACTAAAAGAAAATTTTAAATCTCGAAAAATCCGCAGAAGAGAGGAGACGCGGTCATAATATTTTGTGTAGCGTAATACATAACGACTGACCATCTCGGTTTCTATCGAGCGTGCGTCTCGAGCGTGAGTATCTCGCGAGGAAATAAAGCGGAAGACAAAGGGGACAACGTGACGCGTTACGCGAGCACATTGCGTTGCAACGCACGCCTACTGGCGCGGCGGATAGATAGGTAGGTAGGTAGGTAATCCGAGACTCGACGAGAGGTCAGCCTTCGTAGATTGACGGACGCGATAAATCGAGCCGCGGTGACACCGAGGCTCGAGTGACGCGTAGCGAGGCGACGCGACGCGACGCGATGGGACGCGACGCGACAACCCACTGACCTGCGAATCCAATGCATAGAGTTTCTCTCTTGCGTGATCTCTCTCTCTCTCTCTCTCTCTCTCTCTTTCCCTCTCTTTCGCCATGCACTGTGGCAATACCAACGTGCACACTCGTATACCACCGGGGAGAGAGAGACAACCTCATAAATATTCCTGTTTATACGTCACCCATGTAATGCCGTGCGGGGGTGTGGTATCGAGCACTGGAATCCTGAAATAGAACGAAGCAGCATATGCGTCTATGACGCCCGCCCGATATATCCGGGTCGGAGCATGGTTGTGCGCACCGGGAAATCTTGGTCTATCGAATTTCAAACTCGATCGTAAAAATGCAGCAGCGTCGGAGGATTTTCGATCGAGACCACGGCTGTCGAGACGCGCTGAAATGCTGCGAAATAGCCAGAAACGAGAAGAATCGCGGTTCGCGGTCAAGTTGAAAGGAAAGACGCGATGGCACATTGTATTAAATGCAACTTTCCCAACGCGTGTGAAATCTCACGGAGATTATTCGTTTTCAACAAATTTATCTCGTTTAGTTTTAATGTGAACGCAACAGTTTTAATGTGAAAGTTCTCAGATTTAACCTTTTAATTCCTCTTAATTTGTTCTCCAATTTTTTATGTAATACATTCACTTGTCTCACTGATTACCTGAGTAATCAACAAAGTAACGGTAAGATTTAGCTTTTGTTTTTACACTGCAGTAAATAACGAATGTTTACTTTGCTTCAACAAATTTAATGTAGGCGTCAAAGAGTTAAAAAATTAACACTACACTTTTTAGAGGAAGTTGCAACGTGGATGATGCCGCACAGGTACAACCTTAAGAACTGGGAGAACCAGCGAAAAAATGACAGTGACAATAACAAAGACAACAACCAGAACGGAAACAAGTATAGACCGCATTGTGCCAGCCGGTGATAAAAGCTGTCGCATCGCTGCGGCGGTGCGCATCTACGTACCAAGAGAAAATTCAAGAGAAAGAAAAGCGAAGAAGGCGGTAGAGAGAAAGAGCGAAAAGGATGACGGATGGAGATCGGGTTCGCGAGATAAAGAAGGCCGACAATAATGCCTTCTTCGGTGCACCCTCGGTCCCGGTGGTAGCGGGTGCAGCAGGCAGCTATTATATTGTTTTACCTCTGTATCTCAACCGGAGATCAGCGAATATGCCGCAGAGAGCTGAATATGCGCGCGCCTTCGATCAGCAGACGAGAAAACCCGGAAGAAGGGACTCGCAAGGGAGACTCACCGCGGACGGAGTACGACAAGGGCGTTTGTGATAAAAGCACATTGGACCGCCGTATACGTGCGTTGTAGAAAAATTGAATGCGCGAGGTTCCATCAAATCCAAAACCAATCATTTTTATTTACTTTGTCCTCAATTTTATATCCCAACTGATATTGTTCCAAACTCGAACAAGAAATCAAAATCATAATTATAATTAAAGTTCAAATATCAAAACTAAAACTAGAACTGAAGGAATCGTTTAATCGATGCGATCGTAAAATTAACAAAATTAGAAATAAATTTCTTTATGCAATGTATCTCCTCGATTAAACTTTTTCTACTTTATACAAATTTCATGTAATAGATTGCTGAAAAGATTCAGCATACAACGTTTCATAATTGACTGTGGAAATATTGACGTCGCATCAGTAGCGAAAATAATGCGCCGGTGATCGCTGACTTTTTATCATCAATGTACCATTGCTAATAATGCGCTCATATTGCCGCATACACGGTGCATGTATCAGCGATATTAAAGTCGCAGAAAGGCATTTGAATCCTCGTGTTTCCTCTGCAACAACGCCTATTCGAGGTCTAGAGAGATGAAAAAACAATGCTGCAACGACCTGAAGCCCTTTCGTTTTTCGATTACGATGGAGACTCTTTCCCGCGCTCTCCTATCGTCTCTCGACCTCTCTTTTCTCTTTCTCCCTCTTTCTATGTCTCCCCCACCTGCTTATACCGTACTCTCGCCACCCTCTGGTGAAATTCTTCTGCATGCCTGTACTTCGTCTCGTCTCGCGCAACACGGCACAATGCAACCCCGGGACGCATTGTGGATCAGTCTCACTAGATATCCCAGTGATGTCGACAACACGACGACTATGCGCGATGATATCTAAGCTAGCCGACTTGGAGAATGTTTTCTGCATAACGTTTCGAGAACTAACGTAGAGATGAACAAATATGCGTTTGTTCGATCACTCGATGGCACTCAATAATACATCAGAAAACAAGAAACTAGTATAATTATTCTTATGCACAAATGTTTTACTACTTTGCTGTGATCGTAAACTACAAATTCAAAAGATAAATCATCCCTTAAACTAGTTTAACAATATATATTAGTTAAATTATCATAACTAGATCTGATTTAAAAAAATTATATTTGTATAAGAATATCTTTTCAAGAGTTTTTCACAGTTTTTTGCAAATAAATCAAAAATATAATTTTAGCGTAATTATGTATTTTTTATTATCAGACACTAGCAATAAAAAATAACGTTAAAAAATTTGCCAGGGTGACAGAATTACTTTTGCTCTCAAGGCAACTACAGATTTTTTCTTGGTATTAAAACCGTTTCAAGGAAAATTAGTTCTATTGATCTATTTTCCGTAACTCGTTAAGGACGTTGAGAAATGAAAGTGAGGAGTAACAACAGAGTTTTTTACGATCAACGACAAAAATAAAAAAATATGAAAAGAAAAGAAAAGTACATCTGCGCCCTTGCTGGTTGGGCTCTATCTCGCGAACTCTTTATAGAAAGCGCGAAGAAAGTGTGATAAACGCGACGTCCCTTCTGACACAAAGGTATCGACGTTATCGGGAGAACCGCTGAAGACTTAAATAACTCCCTTTGAGGAGCGCGTGTACATAAGAGAGTGCTTACAATAACGTTGTGACGAAGGGTTTACTTTAATATGCGTAACGAATAATTAACGAATGTTGAACGGCAATATCGTCTCGTTAAAAGCGAAGATTGTATTGATGAGTTCAATTTCCGATGCTACTGATACGAAAAAATGTTCTTTCTATTATTGCAAATTTTCATTTCTTTATAATTTCAAAAATAATAGTTACTATAAAAAATCGCACATTCACTCACACGAGAATGGAACATAATTAAAAAGAAACGGATAGTTTATATTGCACGAAATTCTTAACGAAAGATTGAAACGCCGGGATTCTTTCTGAATTTAATGCAGATTTTTCTAAAAACAAAATGTGTTATATACGAATCAGACCAGATCGAAAAATCTCTTATCGGGGCGAGCGGAAACAAGCGGCGCCTGCAGCTCGCGCGATGATTGCGCCGTAATCTACTTTCGCTTTGCTTTTTCGACAGACGGGGGGTGGTTGCTGCGTGATTGGCCGGAGGCGTCGTTGGGTCTTCCGTTTCGACCGACACATCGACAACAGTCGAGATACTTAGAGAGGATACGCGCGGACGAGATAGACGCCCAAGGAGAGATAGAGAGACGTTGGCGGGAGGGTGTGGAGGGTGAAACAACCCTCCTGACACGGGTTATCCTATAAACGGTTACCCTATGCCACCCCCGCAGCAACGCACCGATAATCCGGCCCCCGGGGCCCGCATGCGGTTGAACGCTCGCTACAGTTACCATATTTGATTGTGTGCCCCCTTCCTCAACCCCTTCTACAAGATTGGAATACGAATAATACGAAATAATATGCTGACTAGGAGTTGCCTACGATAGTACGTTATTTGAAGAAGTATGTAATATTATTAATGATGTTAACAGATAAATCGTAAATCGTTTTGATTATGTTATTAATGTAATTGTCAAACGAATAATCAGTTCTATAATGCTATAGTGTGTAAATGGTTATACATGGTGATAATATATTATCGATTCATATATAATCTGCTGATTAGCACTTCAATTTCTAACAACTCTTTATAGGGCGACTTTTTATGATAAAAGACTAATCGGCATACTAATTAATAATTGTTCGATATTTCATGAAAGTATAATTATGATAATCAAACATGCATATTAATAAAAGATCGTGCGAAGATGATGCCTTTGTTATTGAGAAATAGTTTGTCTGTTTCCAAGAATTCCAATAGTTTTTCTAAATAAAGAAAATATATTAAAACTATAAAAATTTCCATAACTCAAGTTCTACAAGAAATTCTTAAATATTGCAAAGAATTTATCGATTGTATGTCATTTAATCAGGTGATGCATAGTATCATTGTCTCATCCGTCGTGCGAGTGAATAATTGCAAATAATTGCGAATTTTTCCTCGCGATTGGCAAGACTCGTAAGACAAGTAATAAATAAAAAATTGAGGGAATTGTTTTTTCGTTGCGCCTGACGCACCCCGCGTCGCGGCGGCAACGGAAAGCGCGGGGAAAGAAGTCGCGCGTTTGATGTGCCGCCAAAGAGAACGCGCGCAAGGGCAAGCAGGGGAGGGAAACACGCCGTCGGTGGCGGAGTAGTTTCGCGTGGGTTGGTCGGTCGACTGCAACCACGTTTCTACGCAACCCCCTACAACCCCCGCCATCCCCGGCCACCACTCGACCCTTTCTGTCTCTTTCTGTCTCTCTATCGCACGTTTGCTGCTCCATTCCGCATTTCTCTGTTTCTCTACGTTTCGAGAGAGAAGACCGCGCTTAAACGTTACCGGAAAATTATTACCGGAAAAGCGTTGCACACATGCGTGTGGCGAACCGCGGGACCCACCGACGGAATTACATTGATATTAGTATCGTTTGGGCCGACAGATTAATTAATTAAAACGCGCCCCTCCCGCCCGCCGCCTGTGGCTACTCCGCCACACACGTATTTGCGTTTCACACTAACGCTTTAACGCAGACAAGAATATCGTGCGCCAACAATTGTCGAAGGCTTTTGTCATGCATATGAGCGAAACCTTCTGCTATATAGCTTTGGTTAAAAGCGCGGAATTTGTTTTAATAAATTGCGATTCTTTTGAATGTTTAAGTCACATTTCTAAGACGTATTGAAAAAATGTTTCGTCAAGATTGCAAAGAAAAAATTTGCGCCCGCTGGAAAATTATTATTATATATAGATTATTGAGAGATGTAAACTTACCTTTCTTCGCGTGCAATATGTCCGCTGGATCCGGTGGTAAAGAGGTGCAATGGCTCGGACTCAAACTAGATTGTATCGACGAAAATGGGCTTCCCGCGCTCGACGGATACCTAAAACAATGACTGTTCTTAGCAGAAGCACGCTATAATGAAGTAAGATTACACTACGAGGATTAATCTTGCGTGACAAAAACGAAAATTGATTAAAAAAAACGTAATCTTACTCTACGTGATGTATTCTTAATACAATCGATTATTTTTGGATCTTCTTTTTACGGCAAATAAAATAGAAAGTTAAAAAACGTGGTATAAAATTATATTTCTTATCATTGAATCAGAATGCATTTTCTACGTAATGCCATTGTATATCAAGCACCGAATATATCTGCCAATGGGTGTTAGTTTTACCAGGGATTGGGACGTGGCCAGCCGGTGGTCTGCCCGTTTAGTAGCCTGAGTTTATCGTAAACGCTCTCCGCCGGACTACCGGCACCGACGCCAACTCCTACGGCGCCCACCCCTTGCTGCTGTTGTTGCTGCTGCTGCCTCTGCTCCTTTTGTGCGGCCAGATTCCTCAGTACCCTGTTGATCGAGGATACCTGCAAGCCAAATGAATTCCTCGATGTATAAAACAGGCTAATCGTAGCAGGCGTAATTAGGTGAGCGTGCAGTTATTATACTGCGCGCTTAACTCACTGATGTATGATACAAGTTGCATTTCGTGAAAAGATCACACTATTAATTGACAATGATCGGATGAAATCATTGTGCAGATTTGTAAAAAAAAGTAATCGTTTTAAGTTAAAATTCTGTTAACTCTTTCGCTGCGTACAACGTATATATACGCCATCGAAAAATAATCTCTCAGTTGCGTAACTCAGCATTTCCTGACACTTCACAAGAAAGTGTATTTCTCTTCTCTTGATGTTTTCGTCTAGTTAATTTCTTTCTCATATCTCGAATTTTTAAATGATGTCATAAATGTCACAAAGAAAGAATTTTTTCCCGAAAACGCCTTTGAAGTAAGTTCTGAAAAATGAATCTTGTGTTCTTTCTTCCTCCGTGATATCGGATTTATCATAAACGCGAAGTGTGCGGAGAGAGTGATGCGAAGATTCTCCGGAAAGGAGAAAGAGAAGCGCGGAGGCACTTCTGCCCGATGAAATGCGACGAGAGCGGTAATTAAAACGATGCGGTGAGCGGCTGCTGGTGCGGCGCGCTACACGAGGAGAAGTTAATTACCTCCGCCTTCAATTATATCCGTCTCCGCGCCACTCCAAGGGGACTTGGCTTCTGCCGATGTAAGTACGCACTCGCGCGTTTGCGGCGCAGCGCGCGGGTTAACGCTCTTGCGCACACTCCCATACCAAAATTCGAGAATTGCTATTAAACCTCTAAGTGCGCGCCGCAACTGATGCATACTGATAACGCCACAGTGTATCGTGTTTGATACTCTTGTGATGGAAGATTTTAACAAGGAATCTGGGAGAGCAAATATTATACACAGATACACATATATATGATTTATATCGTTCATTTTTTAATTCGATTAATCAAAAATTAATATTTAAATACTATTTTTTAATTCTTTCTGCTTTTTCTACTTGTATCAATAAATTACAGTTTTATCCAATGTTATTCAGTTTCTTTAAAATTGTTTTCTACACTACATTCATCGATTATTTAATTTTCGTTCGTAAATAATTTTGAAAATAACCTACTTGTGTCAAATAGAAACAAAAGAATTAGTTTATGTTTACAATATAGTGTGTATGAGCGATCCAACTATTTTGCGCATGTAAGTATACACAAGCGCAATGAAATATCTACGTGGACGAAGAATTTACGATCTTCTGAGCGACGAGGTCGCTCTTTTTATTTTCGTATCTTTTATTTGTCTTCTTCTGCGGACTGCCTTTGCCGCTTCTGTCACTTACAGCTCGTATAAATTCTGACAAAGCCATAAAAGAATTCTCACGAAACTAAAGCGGTATGTTCTTCTGCTGCCGATAGTTTCGTAATTTATTCCTTTGCACTCTTGTACTATGCCACGCGCGTCGTGGCAAGCGACGTCGCATTAAGAGCGTAGTAGAATGTCGAATTTTTCAACTCCACCCTTTCGCGTCGTAAAGAGTATCGAGAATTAATGTGTCCGCGAAAGTTCTTCCTGTACGCCGACTCGCTTGACTGCGAAGTGGATGCGAAATTTTGAAAACAAAGTGTTATATCTTCACATAGATACATTAGTTAATAAATTCGTTACCAAAGTTAGAATAAAAACAACTATGGAAGAATTTGTTATAATTATTCGCGCGCGCGCATTGTATCTTGGTTATATTTTATTGCACGCGCTGGATTAGAAAGCAGGATGAGAAACACGAGAAATCGGATGCTGGAACGGTACCGGCGACAGAACGCCGAATCGGTCATAGGAGATACTCGTTCCCCAGGGTTTGTTAGACCCGGTGTCAGGGTTCCACGGCTTTGAAACGAGCTGACATCTCGGACCCACCACTGGAGCGGAGCGTCATCCCCCTCGGCGCCCACGACGGCCACCACACAACCACACGATCTCGTCGTGTCTCTCCGCCGCTGACACGAAAGAGACGTCACCGCCACTCTCCCCTCGTCTTGTCTCCGACACTGATGTCCAAAACATCCTGCCTTCTCGTTCCTCCGAAGATTCAAATAGCTTTCGTCAGTAGATTAACAACCTCCGTGATATAAGAGAGAGAGAGAGAGAGAGTTTGAGTAGGTCAGTAGACAATAAATTGACGCGAGATTATACTTAAAAGTTTCTGACTTTAAAATATATTGGAATAATTCAAATGCATAGTTCCGTGAGAAAATATAATAGAAAGTTACGCAATGCAAAACATGTTTATTTTTTAAATTATAGCTATCAAAGATCATTCTTTTAACTCAAGTTGATAAAAATTGAAACAAATTTCTTTCGAAATAAACGAATAAATTTGAGAAAGATGTAAAAAATATTACATAAAGCAGAAAAAACAATATTTGTTTTTCTTTTTAATATTATATCAATATTTTGATTTCAATGATGTAAGATTCTTAGTAACGGATTATTTCACTTCTACGCAATTAACGGAGCGCGGAGATCCATGCAATCTTCTGAATTAGGCAAGTCGGTTCCTAGACGATTCCAAACTGCGCTTGTGAAGTTGGCCGATGTCAAAACCGATTCACAATGAAAAGTCGTTGTCGCGCACAAAGAAGGTACTTGGCGACAATACCAGGAACCCGACGAGCGACGGCTGCCTGTCAAAGGACAATCGGCACCTCGCGCGACATTGAGTGTCCTGTTTGACCGTTTTTTGATTGACGTCAACCGCAAATATCGTACTGGTTGCTTCTCAACCACCGTTGCGATATATTTACGACGTGTGTCACCCCCGTCATTATTCGTGGAGATCGCTATTGCTCTGGAAATCGATACCACAATGGATCCGCTTTTGTGGCGAGCCAGGCAGGCACTTGTGAAACTGTGAGGTATCGAGACATTTCTTCCTTGGACCGATCTTGAAGAAGGTTTTTCTAGATCACTTCACTACCGCGTTAAATTTTAATGACAGATTGTTTGCTTTTAAAGCAGTCTCTTCTAAAATAAGTTTTAAGAGTGTAAACAGGAAGATCGTTAACAAAGACGGATTTTTCCTTTAAATTTAAACAAACCTTATCAAAATGTAAAATTTAAAAATAATTCCTCTCAAAATTATTCAGTAATAAAAATAAAAATTTTGATATTTTAATCAAAAAAGATCGGAAGAATAATAAAAAAAAAAAAAAAAAAGAATAAGCAAGAGCTCGCACGTTTTATAGGCTCATCGTTGACAATGGGATTCTCGATTTTTGCATGGTTACAGCGCCGAGCAGCGTGGTACGCGAATAGCATAAAAGGAGCGTAGATATTATCCTCCATCCATACGCGACGCGCACAAAAGCGGACACGCGGCGAGAGCTTAAAACGTGGCGCAAGAGGAAGAAGCCGGCATCGGATCGATGAAATTAGCATGAAGCGTGAAGAGCTCGAGGGTGGTCGATCTCTTAAAGAGGGTGCTGGATAGAGACGTCATAATATTACTCTCACGCGACACTTCTACGATAGTTGTCCAGCGGGAAATCTCTTTTGCTCCAAAAATAATGATATTTTTAGTAGACCGCAGTTGAATGAAGTAAAACTTTTCGCATAACTATTTTTAAAGACAACGTAAATTAATTCAATAAAATTTGATTAATATTTAATTATTTAAGAAATTTTTAGATTTGTTTTTTGAGCATCTAAATGATGTCTTTCGTAAAAAGCTACATTTTATAACATGTATTGTATCTCGAATGAGTTGCATAAAATCTAATTTTAGCGCTGCAAGTCGAATGCACAAGCAAAGGAGAATTTTTAATCACCATACAGACAGACTCCGCGATATTACAAACGACGCAGAGTCTACATAATAGTGCGTATATTATCTCTTAACACGTAGGAACTGTTCACAGAGAGTGTGGCTGCAATTTTTACGAGTGCTTATTCGCGGTAGTCGCGTATTTCCTGCCCCGGCTCGTTCATATGTATGTACGAGTCGAGGGTGTTAACCGTGAAGAGAGCGGAAGAACACGAGGGTGCCACAACTTTCTCTTTTCCTCTCCATTCAGACTACTTCCGTTATCCTGGGGGTCCAAACGAGCCCGCTATACAGCACGGTTTTATTATCATGAAAACATCCTGGAAATAATAGCCGGGCGATTCGACACGTGTAATCAGAAGCACTTCATAAAACTTATTCAAAAGTTACAGAGTATACTTGGAAGAGATATAAATGTAGTTGCAAATTCTTCTCAGTTGTATAAATACATTGAAGGAATACAACTTTATTGCTTCTATTTTACGAAAAAAAAGAAACGTGAAAAATAATAAATTTTAATAAAATTTTTATATTTTTTTGTTAATGTTACATAATAATAAGTTGTTGATTTCCACATTAAAAGAAATATGCTTTTTAGTAAGAAATACGATTTTATGATTTTTCAAAAGCGCGTCAAAGACATTGCAATCTCTTATATATTATTAATAAATTTATTTGTTATGCGAGTATTGACTAATTATATTCCCTTCTTGCACTTTCAGATGCTGAAATAATGAGATTTTAAAGAGAAGCGTGTCGCGTAGCGTCAAAGCAGTGATAATCGGCTTCTAACGTGAATGCAAATGAAGATGGACAGCGTTATGAAATCTATGATCTCCATTGACACGGCGCGTTAATCGGGACTTACATTACTCGCACATTATATCTCTGTGCTTCCTGCACGCGTGTTTGGTATTTGAAACTGGAACTGTGGGGGTGCGAGGATACTTCGGCACGTGCTGGCGATATCCTGCGTACAGAAGCCGCGTATGCGCGAGTCGAAAGTGAGCAAAATGCCATAACCTGTCATTAAGCCACCCCTCTGGATCGCACGACGATCGAGGGTGCAGAGGTGCGGCCCCGCACGAGCATCGAAATCACGGGTTTCACACTCGGCTGTATTCTGTACCAAGATAATGATAGCGTGTCGCGTTGTACCATTACGTGTAACCGCCACAAAT